ATGCATAAGAAGTGGGAGGTTGCAGTACGCTCATGTGCTGACCTCTGGAACAGTACTACTTACGTGCATGGTTCAAATTTGACTTGGACTTTTCTTTCTGCAGGTTATCCCATTAAACACAGATCAATTATACAGTGTGGAGTTGTAGTGGTAACCCTGCTGAACACGTAGGGTGGCTCACCTGTCCCCCTGCTCACAGTAATTCTCAGAATAGGCAGGATGGTGTCCGATGGCATGCCAAGCTCTGTAGAACAGCACTGCATAATCAAGTTTCTTGTGAAAGAAAACATAAAACCAGCTGAAATTATAGAAGGTTGTGTGCACAGTTTGGCGATGACTGTCTCTCATGTGCGAGTATGTAAAACTGGAGTAAAAGTTCCAAAGAAGGTTGATAATCTGTATGCAACTTGACCACAATCAGCAACTTGCTACTGCTGTGAATCTGACCAACATTCAATGAGTTGAACAGCTTATTCTTGGGAATCGCTGCATAAATGTCCAAGAGATTGCTTCTGTACAGAACATTTGGTCTGGCAGTCTAGAAACAATCCATTCTCACCTGAAATTCAACAAGGTCAGTGCAAGGTGGGTCTGAAGAGAGCTCACTTTTGATCATAAGATTTAATGTGTTGCCATTTTAAGCAAACTCTTGCAGCTTTTTCAAACTGAAGATGATGACTTTTTGGCTTCATTTGTGACCTATGATGAGACCTGGGTACATCACCACATCCCAGAATTTAAAAAGTCAAGTAAACAGTGGCACCATTCATCTTTGCAGCCATTGAAGAAATACAAGTCACAGCTTTGGCTACCACGTTTTGGGACATGCAGGGTGCAATTCATGTTGACTTTTGTGACCATGGAAAGACAATCAATGCACAATGTTATTCCGAAGTGTTGAGCAATGCTGTCCAGGCAGCTATTTGGAAGAAATGGCCTGGAATGCTTCCTAAGGGTATGGAGTTGCTGCATGACAATGTCCATCCACATACTGCAAACCTGACCCAGCATGCCTTGGTCAAGATTGGTTGGGAGGTGTTGAATCACCCACCCTACAGTCCCAATCTCTCCCCATGTGATTTCCACCTCTTGGGGCCACTCAAAGAACCTCTAGCTGGAATCAAGTTTGGGAGTGATAAGGAGTTCAAGCAGCATGTCCTAAAGTGGCTTCAAGACCAGCCCAAAGACTTATATAGACAGTTATCAGGAGGCTGCTACATTGCTGGGAGAAGGGTATGCATGCAGCATGGGATTGCATCAAAAAAGTAGAGGAAGTACCATTGCAAAGTGATTTTTCTGTTAATGTGTGGAAAATAATGTCCAGGTCATATTTGAACCACCCACATATCATTTACTGCTCATTGGCTACTATCCTTTCTACTCAAAAATATGTCCAATATTTGTCCTGAATAGTAAGATATTGTTCCTTTACATGGCCTACCTCTTTGTAATCTGGTTTACAAGACATCAGAAGGTGACCAATCATACTTTGATCCATATTGTTCATGACAAGAAAACAATATACCACAGTAAAAGGGATTTCAGACACATCCAAAGGGTGCCTTTCTTCTCAATTTTACTTTTCTTTGGCTTTTTAGTGGCTGCCCATCCACTGTTGATGACCATTACCTCCATTCAAAAGAAGAAACAAAACAGAGTCTAAAGCATTCAGCTTGTGGGTGAGTGTGCAAATATCAGGTCATCCCATAAGTAAAGCAGTTTTTTTGCATAGCCAAACTTGTGTCTTGTTTATACGTGTATCTGTACACATCTCATGGAATATTTATATGCTAACTTGTGTAGATGTTAGTCTTCAGTCTACGTGTAGGTTTTAACGAGTTAACATACGAGCTTGGAGGACAAGCCAGGAAGAGGTCGGCCATCGGATTTTGACGACCAAGCCCTTTTGGCGGCTGTAGAAGAAGATGAAAGCTTGACCACCAGGATGCTGGCCGAGCAGTTCAATGTCGACCAATCCACCATCGTCCGTCGCCTTAAAAAGCTCGGCAAGGTGTGGAAATTGGCCGGATGGGTCCCTCACGAGCTCTCCGACAATAACAAAGTTGAAAGAGTGCGAATTTTCGGTGAACAGAGAAATGAGCAAACCCCTTTCCTGAACAACCTCGTCACAGGGGACGAATCTTGGCTGCTCTTCAAAAACTTCAAAAGAAAGAAGGTTTGTGTATCTCGGGGCCAAACATCTAAAGGCATCGCAAAAGTTTTCCACTGCAAAAAGGCCATGTGGTGTGTGTGGTGGGACCGGAGCGGAATCATCCATTGGGAGATCATTTCTAACGGCTACTGCTACTGGTGGGATGACGTCAGGAATGGCGAATCCCGGACAAAAATGGCAAAAGGCAGTTCAACTTGAACAGCGACGTCTATCTGGCCCAGCTCGATCGCCTCCATGCTGCCATCGAAGCCAAAAGACCGCGTAAGAAGAACCACATCGTCTTTCACCACGATAACGCCCGCCCCCATGTCGAGCATCGCGTGGTCGAATCCATTACCAACAAGGGATGGAATCTGCTCTCTCATCCGCCCTACTCTCCTACCGAGGCTCCCACAGACGACCACATCAATCGGTCACTAAAAAACTGGCAGAGGTTCAAAGTGTACAATGATTTGGATGAGTTGGTGGACGATGTCAAAGCATGGATTGCCTCGAAGAACCAGCGTTTCTTTGCCCGTGGAATCGACCTACCAAGCAAATGGGAAGCAGTCATTGAAGTGGGCGGTGAATATGCTCCAAAATAAACATAAAAACTTGTTTTGAGTGTATTTTCATGTTTTGTTCTTTAATAAATATTGACTTCAAAAAACGTGCAATAATTATGCATCAACCCAATACTATTGGACGCCGCCATCGACAAGAAACTTATGGACCGATCTCGCTGATTTTTAACTGAATAGCCCTGAGATATGGAGGTACATTTTTCACCCAGGTGTTGGACCTCTGATGAGGACCTTTCCAGATCAATTGTTGAAATTTGCGAGGAAATGTCAAAATCGCTCAGATGTAGAGGTGAGTACCGGCGTTTCCATTCTGTTTATATCCTTGAAATTGCACCAGAAACTTCCCAGCAGGACCATCTTCTTATCAAAGGTCACAAAAAGACCTCCGGTGCCCAATAGTGCATGCATTACGGACGACGCCATTTGCAGGAAACTTACTGAGCGACCTCGCTGATTTTTAATTCGATAATCCGGAGATCTGGAAGTTCATTTATGAGTAGGTGCATGGCTTCTGATCATGACCGTTCGAGGTCAAATTTCAAATAGATTGGAAAACAGTTCAAAATGATTCAATTTTAGACAAAGGAGTTGATGTTTCCACCCTGTCATTACCATTGAAACAGTACCAAACACTGCCCAGAAGGTTGATCTTTATGTTCAAGATGGTTTGTTAACCTACGTCATCGGGTCAGGTTGCTACGAGGAAATGTGAAAACATGAAAAGGCTCCCTTAGTCGAGAGTGTAGGTATTACTGTTTAGATGCCGCCACTGAAAATAAACTTATTGATCTATCTAATTTTTCAAGGGAATTATCCTCATGAATGGGTGTTAATTTTTTGTTCGGATATAATGACCTCTCATGGTGATCACTCGAGGTAAAATGTCAAAATGCTGACAAAAAGGTCAGAACTTTCACGAATTCGAGGAAAGTAGAGATGTTTCTAATCTGTCAATGTCATCTTTCGCTGCCGTTCACGCCATATGACGTGTTCAGCGCGACGAACCTCCACAGCCATGCTTGGCTAGGAGAGCTTGGTTGAGCATTTAAATCTTAGGCAGTGGAAGGAGTAACGCGGTAGAGTTGCCTGGGAGAAGTGGAACCCCATTTTTACAAGAGGAAAATTTCATTTGGTGTGGGTGCTTCGACTATGAACGAACTGTCATCACATTAGACAGATAAAGTCACCATCCACTTCACTAGGTTTCTGCTAATTATCAGCATTTTAAAGTTTACAGTCTCAGACATGTATGGGATTCGGAAAAAAAAACCGTGCCGCTCCTTGAATATGTGAGGCACCTCTGAAACAGCAGCTAGTACAACGAAGTTCCTGTCATACTCACATCTGTCTTCTTTGAGAGTCCAAAAAAATTTGCCCATTCATTTATAGCCGTTTCAGAACACAAGTGATTCAGCACGAAGGCAACAGGAGTTTGATTTTTGGGCTTGCACATGGACGCTGTCAGGAAGACCCGCCCACTCATCAGAAATGATGGTTCTTTCAAGAATCTTTTCCTTTGCCCTTCATAATCTCCTGAGCGAATCTCTGACTCAATCTTACGTTTGGCAATTTGTTGATGGGAATTTTGAATCCCAGGATTGCCATATAGAGAAATAAGGATTTATTTCACATAAACGTTTAGATAGGTTCCTTCAAATCCGGCTAGTGTTATTCTGTTACTTCACTCCTCAGATGAACCTTTTTTTATTGCAGCTTGTGAAACAGTCTCTTAACGATAGGTCTACATTTATTTCTCTCCTTACTAGGAAATTCTTGCAAAATTCTTTCCCCACCCCACCCATTCACAAAGAATAGCATCTGATCAGGAGTGGACCTCGGGATCAGAAGGGAGCGGACCCTTCTGATCATGACCTCGGACGGTCACGATCAGAAGCCATGCGCTTCATAAATGAACTTCCATATCTCCGGATTATCGAATTAAAAAATCAGCGAGGTCGCTCAATAAGTTTCCTGCAAATGGCGTCCGTAATGCACGCGCTATTAGGCACCGGAGGTCTTTTAGTGACCTTTGACCTCGTACCTGTTTTACCCAGTGACCTAAGTACATGAGACTTTTCGGATAAAAAGATGATCCTGCTGAGAAGTTTCTGGTGCTATTTCAAGGATACGAACAGAATGGAAACGCCGGTACTCACCTTTACATCTGAGTGATTTTTACATTTCCCCGCTAATTTGATCTCGAATGGTCCTCATCAGAGGTCCAACACCTAGACGAAAATATCTCAGGGCTATTCAGTTAAAAATCAGCGAGATTGGTCCATAGGTTTCTTGTCGATGGCGGCATCCATAGTACCTGTATATGCATTATGGACAACTGGAGGCCATTTTTGTGACGTTCCGTCTCGCATCAGCTTCACCCCGGGAACCGGACAAAATGACCCCGGACATAATGGTCCCAAATGCAATGTAGGACATAATGGCCCCACACACCAGAAAACCAGCTTCTTTGAATAAGGATTAATTTTTCCCTCTCAGATATTGATATGCTGTTCAAATGATTAAAATCTATTAAAATAGTTATAATTCATTAACACAATTTATTAAACTAACGCAATTTTACTTGACCCATCCCACCCTGTTTACCCTCTGATCCTGATCCTCTGTTCCATCTAATCCTCTG